CATTCGCATCCGAGCAGTTTTTATATACTTTCTATATAGATGTCACGTCTGTGATATGTAAAAAACTTTTTTTTTTTTTAAACAGTTTTTTTCATGTGAGTTTTTCTGTGAGGGAAATCTCCGAAACCTCTTTACTTATTGCTTTGAAATTTTGACACAACGTTGGATTCGAATACACACACATGTTTTTATATGCCTAATATATACATGCCCTACCTGTGACAGGTAAAAACATGTTTTTTTGAACCTGTTTGAGTTTCTCAGGTTCCCTGTTCCTTTCTTGTCTTTTGACATTAATGTTTTTTTCTGCAAGCCTGCATGGCCCTTCTTAGCATCACTGGCCCTCCATGACACCCCAGTAGGCTACTCTAGGCTCCATTGGCACTTCCTGGCACTCTGGACTCTCCCTGGCACTCATGGCTCTCCCTCCCTCTCCCAACCTTCTTCCCCCATCACCCAAGCTTTGTCCGGCCTGAGCCTGGCACGCAAGTGGCCCTCGCGAAGGAGAGTTGGAATTATCTCGTTTTCTCCCGGATTCTCTCGGATTTGGTCGGATTTACGACTCGGGACGCCGTGTGTAACGACGAACGTTGGCCCTCGATAAAGCGATGGTGTTCGGCATAACTGATATTGTCTCCTTATTTGCATATTCCCCGACATCGAGTCCCCCTGTCGTAAATCAAAAATTCTGCGTCTGATGAGATATAATGACTTGGTGAGGAAACCGAAGACGTCTTACGACGCGCGTAAAACTGGGAAGGCGGCGATAAAGCAGGAGGAAGGAAGGATGCCTTCCTCCTCTCCCAAGGACACGCCAATTATTTTTACAATAATTCTTCTCTTTAAAGGACAATTTTTGACGATCATTCTCACTTTAAATTATAATTTATTTCGATAATCCTTATTTTAAATTACCAATTTTTACCATAATTCTTATCTTAAATTCCAAATTTTTACCATAATTCTTAAACTAAATTATATATTTTTTTTACGATAATGCTATCTAAAAACAGGGCAAAGTCGCGAACAAATTTACGTAAAACAATATTTTTCCTTAAATATTCTTTAAATGGGAATTGTTATACTGCAGTCGGAGAAATCATTCTTTCGTTACGGGCGACTGGGCAGTGTAGATAATAAACTCGGCCAAGCTTAAAATAGCGTCCAGTCCAGAGATGTCCAGAAGACATGGTCCGCTCCCCCGTCCTCCTGTTTACCAATGGATCCAGAGCGCCTCTGGCTTCAAGGAACACTTCGCCAAACGAAAACTTTTGTCCATAATGGGGCTTTCTGCGCACATTTCTTGCATCAAGGTGTAACTGCCCCTCATAAGGGGTCGAGGGAAAGCGTGAATTTGATGGATAAATTATATTTTTGGGACGTAAAAAGACGAAAACCGGATGGTGAAAGCGGTTACAGGCCCCCGAAGACTAGGAGATCTTGGCAGCCCGCGGCAGCTGATTGGCTCGTCCCGCTGACCGCGACTGGCGGTGTTGCCAGCTCTCGAGCGGAGGCCAGGCCGATAGCAAGGGTGACTGCAATATTTCATCTGCAGATTTTTGTTCCCCTGAATATAATACTTGTCATATATCTCGCAATTAGTCGTGTCATTATATATATATATATATATATATATATATATATATATATATATATATATATATATATATATATATATATATATATATATATATTGGAGAATTGATTTTTCAATTACCATCGACAGTAAAAAGAAACATAAGAAATATTGAGAAAAATCGTATTAGAATTATTAATCTCGCTTTTTCGGTCATATTTAACAACATATGTTTACAAGAAAGACTGCTACTAAAATATACTAATATATAATCACCAAGCACCAAGGCGGAGGGCCACTGCTACATGAAGGGATTCTGGATCTAGGCGCGTGCCCATTGCCGACATGGGTACTGCCAGGAGGAAGTCTCCTCCTAACCAAAACATAAACCTGATAATATTCTACAAAACCAAGAAGACTTCCGAACTCCTTATCAAAAACAGCCCGAAGCCGACGGAGAACCCTTTACAGCAGTCAAGCGTTGTATACATGTACACTTGCCCCCACGAAGGATGTAACCTTCAATCTAAGTACATAGGTATGACGTCGACCAAGCTGACGAGGCGTTTGACATGCCATCTTCAATCCGGTGCCCCTAGGAATCACATGAGACAAGCCCATGACATCACTCTAACAAGAGAAATGTTGAACAAGAATACCTGCATAATAGACAAAACCCAAGATGCAAGAAGATTACAAATTCTTGAGGCAATTCACATAAGAATAGAACAACCTACCATGAACACCCAAATCACGGAACTATTTACTCTACCCACCATGAGAGTAAGGACAAGACCAGAACATAACGTTGCCAACACAGAAGACAATGTCCAACATAACAGGCCAATTACACTGGATTAATCTTTGTGTTTAGATAGGAGCTGCCTCTTATGGGCCAATAAGCCTTCTGCAGTTACCTCTGTTTCACCTCACATTTATACCTTATGTGTCCCCCCCTGTTTTCACCTTTATTGTATTATCACCTGACCCAGTGCGGGTATAAAATCAACCAGCATTGTAAGATCTGTTCACTTGTGAATGAACCATGGAGGTTCGAAACGTTGTGCAAATTGTATAAATAAGTGTAATACACTCTATAGTAATTCACTTCTTTTCTTCACCTTAAAAGTACGAAAATGAGTTTTGGAGAACTCCTATTTCAACTAAGCCCTGATGCTAAGAAAATAGTTAGAGGGATAGAAGCCCTAAACCAGAAAATAATAAATACAGAATATGCGGTCATATTCAATGAAACATATATATATATATAATATATATATATATATATATATATATATATATATATATATATATATATATATATATATATATATATATATATATGTAATATATATATATATATATATATATATATATATATATATATATATGTAATTTATTGTATATATATTATATAATATATATATATATATATGTATATTATATAATATATATACAATACATTACACAAAAATACATTATATATATTATATTTATAGACGAAAGAGTAGAAAACGGAACACCCTGAAACCTTGGTAATGCAGCAGCATAAGAGAGAGAGAGAGAGAGACAGAGACAGAGAGAGGATAATGATAATAATAATTCCTAGACGATAAAATATCTCAGACAAGAAAAGTCGCAAAACCAGGACGAGAAGGTTTTTGAAGCCTTGTTCCCCTTGTTAATTAATTAGCCAGGTAATGGCAGGTAATTACACCAGGCCTCTGATGATCCGTGAACAATGTGGCCAAGACGGAGTGGGACTCTTGTCACCGTCAGTTATTATATGTTGGCTGGTGAGACACGGGGTTCAACGTCTCGTCTCCTTCAGTTGGCAACTGTTGCTGTTATTGTTGAGGTCTCTGGCGCTACAGTGTGGTGGGAGGGGGGATGGATATTGTGGTGGGAGGGAGGAAATGCAGGATTAAGCCTTGTGCTGGGAAGGAAGGCTTAGAAACACGTGACAGAGAAATAGGGATAGATGGAGAGAGAGAGAGAGAGAGAGAGAGAGGAGAGAGAGAGGGAGAGAGAGAGAGAGAGAGAGAGAGAGAGAGAGAGCGATGAGAGAGAGAGAGAGAGAGAGAGAGAGAGAGAGAGAGAAGAGAGAGAGGAGAGAGAGAGAGAGAGAGAGAGAGAGAGAGAGAGGGAGAGAGAGGGTAGATAGAAGGAGAGAGAGAGGGAGAGGAGGAGAGAGAGCGAGGGAACAATAGAGAAAACAATAAATAAAACATTAGTTGAAAAATTCGAAGATTTAAAACGTGAAAGTCACTAAGGATCAGAAACTCGTATAGAAAGAGAAGAGAAGATAATACGGGCCGATGGAATACGTCAGAAGAGGAGCTGGAATAATGAAGGAAGCACGTAAAGGACAAACTGGTATGAAACTAATCTATTGTAATTATTAATATAATAACCCATTCATGTTGCGTCTCATCTCTCTCTCTCAGCTCTCTCTCTCTCTCTCTCCTCTCTCTCTCTCTCTCTCTCTCTCTCTCTCTCTCTCTCTCTCTCTCTCTCTCTCTCCTCTCTCTCTCTCTCTCTCTCTCTCTCTCTCTCTCTCTCCTCTCTCTCTCTCTCTCTCTCTCTCTCTCTCTCTCTCTCTCGCTCTCTCTCTCTCCTCCTCTCTCTCTCTCTCTCTCTCTCTCTCTCTCTCTCTCTCTCTCTCTCTCCTCTCTCTCTCTCCTCTCTCTCTCTCTCTCTCTCTCTCTCTCTCTCTCTCCTCTCC